AGCGGGTCGCTCTATGTCATAGCTGCAAGTGCTTTCCTCCACGATTTAGAGACTGGCCTGGCTGCCCGGCGGCCTCCCTTGGGACAGTCCTACGCCTGCGTCGACGACCTCGGAGTGATCATCTACCGTTCGCGTGGCTATCGCCGCTTGGCTCGAGTGTTCCGGCTGTCGGGGGAGTTCGCCAATATAGTCTTGAAGCACCGCAGGTGCTTCGTGCTCCCCCTGGCCGGCCCTCTCAATGAAGCATCGGCTGACGAGATGCGCCGCACTCTTGCTGCTGTAGAGCCTGCTTGGGCGGCCTTCGTTGGCACTGATGTGTGCACCTCCTGGGCTTTCAGCTTGGTACCGCAGCATCCCTGGACATGCAACGGAATGTGCCGCTACTCAAATATCAGAAGAGGGTGATGGACATCAGCACTGCGGGCGCTCCCACTGCTACGGCAGCCACTCTCTATCGTGAACGTGACCTTCCTGTTCTCCTCTATGTTGCCCAGCTGATGCCCTTGCCGTGCTCTATGGCGCAGGTGCAACGATACAGTATTGCGAGGCTGCTTCAGGCCCCCAGCTCAATGTTCAGAATGCAGGACCGCGTCAAGATGGCATCCTTTGGCGGCCCGCAGTTCACTGCAGCTTACTCTTTTGCGGCTGCCGCTCGGATGCGCAGTGCTCGGGTCACGTGCCCTGGGTGGGCCTTGCAGCTGGCGGATCTCAGAGATTGCATGCTCGATCATGGTGTTGCCGCATGGTGGAACCTACCTCAGGTCGTTCCTGCATACTGGTGTGCGCCGCCCTTTGCCGCCATTCTGGGGGAGGCTGCGTCTGGCTTCCCGCATGATCGGCATCTCCAGATGGGCGGTCAACGTGCGCTGGAGGTCTGGCGTGCTGCTTGCCCCTTGCCGGCCAGGGTGGCAATGTTATTTAAACAGGGTCACCTTCCTGCTCCCCGTCGGCTTCTACAAGATCGTCCTTACGGCGGTGAACGTGAGAGACGCTCGGTTGCCCCGGCGCGGAGGACCGCATCGGTCATTTTATCGTACAGTGTGGCAGGCTCCATCATTTTGCCGCATTGGCTCTTCGTTCTGATCTCCTCTGTTCGGCGCGTGGACGACTGGGCTTCTCTGGTTGGTTTGTCTTCCGGGTTGTTCTGTAGCATCACTTTTGTCTCCCATGCCTATGAGTGTCCACCGACTTACCCTCCGCTCGCACGTTTCGGTGCCGGCACATATACATTCCAGAAAGCAAGCACAGACAGTAGAGTAGAGACAGATATCTGGATGGCTCATCCTCTCCGCCGGAGTCGGCAACCTCATCTTCGTCAAGCGCCACCTGTGGTGGGATGACCTCGGCTCCACCGTCGGGCCTCATTTCGATCGATGCCACGGCCGCCGCTCCCCTGTGCACAGAGCAGAGTGAGCAGCAGAGTCCGCGCAATGAGAGTGCCCCGTCCTCTTGTAGCATCGCCCCCACTATCTTCCATTTGGTCGATGATGATATCCCGCGTGGCATGTCACGCACTGCCCGTGCCCCAGTGTGGCACCCCGCCGAAGCGAGGGGGGTGCCAGTGGGTTAGCGTAGCGGGTAGGGAGGAAGGGACGAGATCCTCCAGGCCACGCTCCGCCTCCTCATCCTCCTCCTCCTCCTCCTCCTCCTCCTCCTCCTTCTCTTCCTCCCATTCCTCCTCCGTAGCCCCGGGAGACCTCGGGGATACGCTCGGCTCCTCCTGTCCCTTCTGCTCCCCCCCCCCCTTCCACCCACCTCCCCCCCCCCTCCCCCTCTTCTCCAGCTCCTCCTGCTCCTGTCGGCCGCGGGCCTGGCGCGCCACCCCCTTGCGGCCGCCTGGCCCGCCTCGGGCCCTGCTTCCCGCCGAGGCCGTGCCTCGGGTCGCCCCCTCGGCCGCAGCTCCGCTGGCGCCGCCGCGGCCGCTCCTCCGCGATGTCGCCCTGCCCCCCTATCCTCCTCCCCTTCCTCCTCCTCCTCCTCCTCCTCTTCCTCCTCCACCTCGTCCTCCTCGTCACCCTCCTCCTCCCTATTCTCCTCCTTCTCCTCCTCCTCTTCCCCCTCCTCCTTTTCCTCCTCCTCCTCATGTTTCTCTTCCTTCCCGTCCTCCTCCTTAGCCTCATGAGACCTTTCTCCCCGTCCCTCTTCTTTTTTCCCCCTCCTCATCCTCTCCGCCCACTTCCACAATCTCGGTCGAGCACTGATTAAGCAACCTCCTCCCGATAAGTTTGGCCAACGCTTCTTGAACAATTTGCCAGACAGCTGGCCCGGTTTCTTGAGCATGTTCGTCCCTCCAGCGTGAACAAGCAATTGGCCCAAGTTTGCTAGGAGAAATGTATGGAACACAGGCGCCGTTTTTTTTAAGTATTATGTGTTTGATCATAGTTTCGGCTGCGCTCAGTCTGAATCGTATTTTCGTCCTTCCACCGAAGATGGCCTGGGAGGGGCCCGCCCCCATCCGCGTACTTGTCCACTTTGTTTAAACGTGCACAATTACACGGACATTTGTTTTCCCCATGTTTGTTTACAATGTGAGCGTTTTTGGTGCCTCGAACTGGTGCTCCCGCTGCAGCGCTGGCCCCATTTTAAGATCGGCGCTCTGCTCGCATCGCTCAGAGTGGCGCTCTCGTCCCAGCGCCGACCACCTTTCTGGACACGAGTGCTCCCTCGTCGTGGTCCCTCTGCTGCTTTCCCCTCCCGCCGCCTTCCCCTTTGTCATCCTGCTCCTCCCGCTCCTCCCACCCCTGCGCCTGCTGCTCCTGCTGCTCTCTCTCTCTCCCTCTCTCTCTCTCGAAGCGCGGCGGTCCCCGCGTGGTCGGCGCGCCGCGCCTGACAGCGAGCCCGCCGCCGGGGCCAGCGCGGGGCCTGCCCTTTCAGGAGGAGGGGGCGGGGCGGGCGGGGGGAGAGCAGAGAGAGCAGAGAGCAGCGGCCCGTAGGGAGGCGGCGCGGGTCCTCCTCCCCGGCATTGCGCCGGGCCGGAAAATTGATCAGCGTGGTGTGAAACAAATCGATCAGTGTGGTGTGAAACATATAGGAACATTACAGGCGGGCAAGACAACACAAACCAGCGGGCGGGGGGAGGGGAGGGGGGCGGGCCGCCCACTTCCCTGCTCATGGCCGGAGGCGCACCAAGGGGGAGATGGGGGCAGGTCGGAGGGAGCGGCCGGGCCGGGCCGCTCATCAAAGGATGTAGCAGCTCGTCCCGAGGACGGCGCATCTTGCGCGTGACGTTGTACACGGCGGTTCTTGTCTGTCGCCCCAAGAATTCTATTCGGTAGCGTACGCTGGAATACCATTATCCGCGGCGTCTGGTAGGTCGGCCTCACCGTAATTATTGTGCCATTCGATCGTAGACTACGTCGAGCAGGCTTTGCCAGTGGAGAATTTTGAGGAAAAGCTGGGTAACCCCTGGCCGACCATCAGAGGCTGCGAGGTCGTATAAGCGCTCGAACACGAAGTCATATCTCATCGGATCGTGATACTGGTAGGCTCGAGCCTCCTCATGGCACATGACGGTGAGCCGCTTCTTGGGGTATTTGTCGATGGGCTCGACGTTGATATTCTGAACGCTGATGGCCATCGGTCCCGACTTGAACGCCCTGCGCTTCGTGGTGGCATCCCACGCGCCCAGAAAACACTGGAGGCCATTGTGGCGCCTCTGGCCTTTAAGCCCGATTACGCGGGCTGACACCCCTTGTCGTAGTCCTGCGTGTGAAGGTACTTCGGCGTGTTCTTGTAGTCCGGCTAGATGTGCTGGAGGTTCTCGTAGCATAGGTGGTTGCCCTCGTCGCCCTTGCAGATCAGCCTGTCGCCCTGGTAGCTCTGCGGGAGGCTCTCGTAATTTTGCTTGTGATCTGCGTAGCTCAAGTTGCGGCCTTCGTAGCTCCGCAGGTGGCTCTTGTAATGAGCCGGTGGCTCTCTGAGTTCTGCCTTCTGGGCATTGCAGTTCGGCTCGTCGCCCTAGTAGCTCTGCAGGCGGCCCTGGTAATTCTTCCTGTAGTCCGCGTAGGTTTGGTTGTGGCCCTGGCAGCTCAGCCGGTGGCCCTCGTAGCGCTCGTAGTTCAGCTGGCGGTCCTCGGAGCCCTGCCTGTGGTACTCGAAGCCCTGCCTGAGGCCCTGGTAGGTAGCTCAGCGCGTGGTCCCAGCAGCGCAGCACTTGGCCCTCGCAGCTCAGCTGGTGGCTGTCCTTGCTCAGCAGGTGGCCCTTGCAGTTCAGCCTGTCGCCCTGGTGGCTCTGCGGGAGGCTCTCGTAGTCGTGGCTGTGCTCCCGCAGCTGAGGTAGTGGCCCTTGTGGCTCTGCCTGTGGCCCTCGCAGTTCATCTGGTGGGTCTCGGAGTTCTTCTTTTGGCCTTTGCTGTTAAGCTCGCCACCCTCGCCGCTCTGCAGGAGGCTCAAGCCGGTCTGCTATAGTTCGCGTAGCTCTGGTTGTGGCCCTGCTGGCTCAGCAGGCAGCCCCTGCAGCTCTCGTAGCTGTGCATGTGGTCCCCGTGGCAGAGCTGGTGCTTCCAGTCGCTCAGTTGGTGGTCCTCGTAGCTCAGCTGTTGGCCCTGGTAGCGCAGCAGGTGGTCCTCGTGGTTCAGCTGGTATGGTAGTCCTCGTAGTCATGGTTGCTCCTTCTGCTGCTGTTCCTCCTCGTCCTCCTCCTTTGTCCTTCCTTCTCCTGACTCCTCCTCCGCCTTCCTCATCCTCCCCTCCCTCCTGTTTATCCTCGTGCTCTTCCGCAGTTTCTTCTTCCACCGAAGTACGCAGCTCCCCTCTTGCGATTGCGCATGACACGATAGGGGTCCTTTTAGGGGTTCCAGCTCCGCTCTCAGACCCGTCGGCCGTAGAGACAAAACAACGCAGTGGGAGGGGACGGGTGGGAGGAGTACGATGTCAGATATGGCGCGAGCGCACCTGACTTGTCCAACCCCCCTCTCCCTCCCGGAGGACGACGTCGACGACGCCGGCGGCGAAGACAACGGCGCTCACACGCAGGCGCTGCGGCCGCGGCCGTTCTGGCTCTCGAGGCTCGGGGGAGCTCCTCATGGACTCCTCGGCTTCAGGGGGTGGGGCAACCGGCGGCGCCCTAGATCACCACCCACCAAATCACCCCAACCCAACTCGAAGGCCCAGATTTGCCCTCCATTTCCAGTGAGGGGGGGTCGGGAAACATTGAAAAAACACATGTGAAGCCCGTACCCCCCCAACCCGAAATTCGGGTCTTCGGGTTGGGTTTCTGGTAGGTAGTCACTAGAGCCGCCACCCGCGGGCATGGACGAGATGGAAGCGCTGGAGCTGACGGAGACCCGCGTGCGAAGCCGCCTCGGGACGGCGGGCACGGTCCGGCGGGGCCCAACGTCACGGCGCGCCGTGAGTCCTTGCCTCCACCTCCACTTTTCTCCAGGCCGTAGGAGGTGGAGGAGGATGCAGGGGGAGGAGTAGGAGGAGGAGGGAGGAGCAGTAGGATAAGGGCATGAATGAGACAGAGGAAGGGAAGGGGAGTGAGAGTGAGCAGGAGAGGAGGAATGATGATGGGGGGCTGAGGGAGGAAGAGGAAGAGGAGCATCAGGGTGGACCCGAGTAAGCCCAACGACGATGAAACAGGCCCATCTCAAGTCCCCTCCGCTCAAGTCCTTACGTGTACTCCTTTCCACTGCGGGTAGCATCCCCTTGACATATGAGCGCCCCATGGGCCTGCCTTTCATGCAAGAGCCCCATTAAGGGGAATTAGTTACTACGAGCCGCCCGCCCCCCCCATCCGTGCCATTGTTGCGCACCTGCGGGTCATACATGTCGCGAGAGTATCCTGCGAGAGCCTAGTGTGGAAATGGAGCCGCCTTTTATCCGCACAGCTGTTGCAGAATTGTACGGTCAGGGGCGTTTGCTTAGCGTGTCGCGCCGCCGATTCTGGGCCACCACGATACGGCGTGAGCCACTGCCCAGTTCCCAATTACCGGGCATCAGTGTCCCTGGATCTTCCCAGGGTCATTGTTTGACAGCCCCAGGGCCTGGGAAGGAACCCAGGAGGCCGACAGCGGTCAAACACTTCCGTCGTCTAACGTTTCTGCCGTCGCGACGCGAGGGGGTCTGGGCCTTGGGTGGGGCCAGGCCCGGGATAGGAACCCCTTTTAAGACGTTCCAGAGCGCTCTGGAAGGGCCGCGGCACCCGGCACAGTCTCCAGCACTGTCAGATGTCAGAGATCCCCGAACCCCTCCGCCTCCTCCTCCTCCTCCTCCTCCTCCTCCTCCTCCTCCTCCTCCTTCTCCTCATCCTCTCTCCTTCTCCTCATCCTCGTCCTCCCCCTCCTCCTCCGCCTCCTCTGTCTCCTCCTCCTCCTCCTCCTCCTCCTCCTCCTCCTCCTCCTCCTCCTCCTCCTCCTCCTCCCCCCTGGCGCAGGAGGGGGGCCGCTTGAGCAGGAGGGGCCCCTGGTGGCGTATGTCTCGCCTGCCCCCGCCCCGCGAGGTGAGGCCCGCGCCGCCGAGCCCGCAGCTCGACGCTGGCGCGGGGGAGCCCGCCGAGCCCGTCGTCACGGCCCCGCGCGCGGGGGGGAGGAGGAATAGGAGGAGGAGGAGGAGGAGGAGGAGGACGACGACGACGAGGAGGAGGAGGAGGAGGACGACGAGGAGGAGGAGGAGGAGAGGAGGAGAAGGAGGAGGAGGAGGAGGAGAGGAGGAGGAACAGGAGGAGAGGAGGAGGAGGAGAGAAGGAGGACGAGGACGAGGAGGAGAGAGGAGGAGGAGAGGGGACGAGGAGGACGAGGACGAGGAGGAGGAGAGGAGGAGGAGGAGGAGGAGGAGGAGGAGAGGGGGGAGGAGGAGGAGGAGGAGGAGGAGGAGGAGGAGGAGGAGGAGGAGGACGACGAGGAGGAGGAGGACGAGGAGGAGGAGGAGGAGGAGGAGGAGGAGGAGGAGGAGGATGAGGAGAAGGAGGGAGGAGGAGAGAGGAGGAGGAGGAGGAGGAGAGAGGAGGAGGGAGGAGGAGGAGGAGGAGGAGGAGGAGGACGAGGAGGAGGAGGAGGAGGAGGAGGAGGAGGAGGAGGAGGAGGAGGAGGAGAGGAGGAGGAGAGGAGGAGGAGGAGGAGGAGGAGGACGAGGACGAGGAGGAGGAGGAGGAGGAGGAGGACGAGGGAGGGGAGGAGGAGGAGGAGGAGGAGGAGGAGGAGGAGGAGGAGGACGAGGAGGGAGGAGGAGGAGGAGGAGGAGGAGGAGGAGGAGGAGGAGAGGAGGAGGAGGAGGAGAGGAGGAGAGGAGGAGGAGGAGCAGGAGGAGGAGGACGAGGAGGAGGAGGAGAGGAGGCGAGGAGCAGGAGGAGGAGGAGGAGGCGGACCAGTGTGAACCCAAGAGCCATCAACGATGTTGGAATACACCCTCCCTCCAAGCTCCCACCTTATAGCCCCTGCAGACATTCATTTCCATTGAGGGATCTGCCTCTTTTAAGAAAGTTGCTCGAAGACCCGGAGGCATGCCAAAACATTGTTCTCGGAATCCCAACGCCACGGGTCAACCTGATTGTTGTTGCGTCTTGGCGATCCTGGATCGTGCCAGAACGCCATTCTCTGGATTTCAACACCGCGAATCAACGTCACTGTTGCACCCTGATCGTGGGAATCAGTGGGACTCTTGTAAACTTCCTGGACGAATGTGCGTGGCGCTAAGGCGAGAGCCTCATTTTGAAAAGGCACCACCCTCATTCCGTGAACCTTTTGCAAGTTTTTAAATCGAAGGTGCGCGGCGCTAAGGCGAGAGCCACATTCCGAAGACGTGCTATCCTCAATCCGGGGAGCTCTTCCGAACCTCTAATACGAATGTGCGCGGCGCCAAGGCGAGAGCCACAGTTTGAAAACGGGTGATCCTCAATCCGTGAAGTTCTTGCAAATGTCTACGTAGAACGAATGTGCGCGGCGCTAAGCTGAGAGCCACCTTTTGAAGACGTGTGATCCTCAATCCGGGAAGCTCTTCAAAACCTCTAATACGAATGTGCGCGGCGCCACGGCGAGAGCCACAGATTGAAAACGGGTGATCCTCAATCCGTGAAGTTCTTGCAAATGTTTACGTAGAACGAATGTGCGCGGCGCTAAGGCGAGAGCCACATGTTGAAAACCACCCGCCCTCCATGTGTGAAACTGTGGCCAAAGTTTACGTTTCGGGGTCATAAATGGTGTTGAAGTCCCAGGCGAAACGCCTGGTCCGCCCTAACAAGTGGCCTCGGGGTGCGGCAGGAGGACGAGGAGGAGGAGGAGGAGGAGGAGGAGGGAGGAGGGAGGAGGGAAGAACGAGGAGGGAGGAGGGAGGAATGAGGAGGGAGGAGGAGGAGGGAAGAGGGAGGAGGAGGAGGATGAGGAGAGGAGGAGGAGGAGGAGGAGGAGGAGGAGGAGGAGGAGAGGACGAGAGACGAGGCCGAGGACGAGGAGGACGAGGAGAGGAGGAGGAGGAGGAGCGAGGAGGAAGCAGGAGGAGGAGGAGAGGAGGAGGGGGGAGGAGGAGGAGGAGGAGGAGGAGAGGAGGAGAGAGGAGGAGGAGGAGGAGGAGGAGGAGGGAGGAGAGGAGGAGGAGGAGGAGGAGGATGAGGAGGAGGAGGAGGAGGAGGAGAGAGAGGGAGGGAGGGAGGGAGGAGGGAGGGAGGGAGGAAGGGAAGGCGGCGGATTTGCCGAATAAGAATGCTCTGTGGTTCCCTGGCTCGGCCCTGAAGGTGGAGCGAGGGTATTCGGACGTGCTCACACGCATGGCCCCAGTGAACACTCCTCCCAGAGTTGTACGTGTGCTGGGGTCGCGGCGAATGGTGGAGGAGGAGGAGGAGGAGGAGGAGGAGGAGGAGGAGGAGGCGGAGGCGGAGGCGGAGGCGGAGGCGGACGAGGAGAAGGAGGAGGGACATTCGCAGGAACCGAATAACAAGAACAACAAGCACAACTTGTCGGAGGCCCTCGCGGATGTTTTGGATCGGCGCTGGGCCTCCCCTCCCTGTCGCGCGGAGTGCGTCAGGGGCAGCGCTGGAGGCGCCGCCAGGGGGTCCAGCGAAGATCCAAGAAATCTTCGCGGAATTCTGAGAATGTGTGTTTACCCTATTCTGTCTTCCTAAGGAAGGACTGGTGCAGCAGTCGAGTTGATTTGTAGGTCGACCTTGCCAAAGCAATGGTACCCTTTGCGTCCTGTGTTTCGCGACCCATGCTCTCTACATTCCTATGGCGGTGTGGCCATCAGAAGGGTATTGTGTCCTCTCGCGTGTCCTCACATATCAATATTGACTGGAAGGGCCCAGATATCCGACGACGGCGGCGAGCACGACGATGGCGCGGCGGGATTCGGAGTGGTCGGGCGGTTTCGTTGGCTCCTGGGGTCTTCTCGTCTCGGGATGCTCTCCAGCAGCTGATCGGAGGAGTGTATTCGTACACCAATTCACTCCCTGGATGTATAATTTATAGCAGGGTTTTTTTGCGGTGCGGCTTGGTTTTCCTATCTTCTTTCGCCCACGGCCTTCGCGGGGACGTTCCAATTGTGTCTTCGTGCCCTCGGCGGCACGCCCCTCGCGAAGATCGCGGCCATGCAAGGCCTTAGTTGGATTTTCCCATGGCGTCCCCGCGCCCGTTTTCAGTACGCTTCGTCAAGCGGATGGCGCCCCATTGGGAGCGCCACCTACGAGCCCAGTAGGAGCAATCATTATTACCTATGGCGTATTCGTGCAAACGTCTGCTTCCTTCTGATCAGATCGCGCTCCGTGTGGCAGCTCCGCGCATGGCCCCGGCGCGGAGGCCCCGCCCCTGGTAATGTCGTCGCACGTCTCATTCAGGCTGTGCCCCATGTGGAGCTTCGCCTGCAGTTCCAGCGGGGGCGTCCACATGCGTTCGCCCACTTTCCATGGCCGCGGGGGATTCTGGAAAATGAGGAAACCATAGGAGCAGGATCCATTGTCCGATTGGTGTATAGAATTCCGGGACGACGAACCTTCTGGGATGTATCAGGCAAAACGGCCAGCCGAAATTCTATACGCCGATCGGGCCATACCCACCAGAATGTATACGGCCTCGGTGACCTGGGGTTTCGCTCCCAGCCGCCGATAGAACCGGCCAAAGGTTGGCCGTGGCAGGCGGCGGTGCCCAATTTGTGTAGGAGCGGAAACCGCATCCAAATTCCTTGACGTTCCGTTTTCGTGTGTTTTTGGAGGGTTGGAGGGGGCGGAGAGGGCGGCGGGGGCGCGGGGGTCGGGAAGGAAGATTTTTGGGGGGAACGGGGCAGAGACGAGTAGATCTTGACAGGGAATGGGGGGGAAAACATAACGGGAACGCGCGGCGGGCGCAGGGAACGGGAGCGGGAAACAGAAGGAAGGACGTAGGCGCGCGGAGGGGGATGGGCGAACGGACGGCGGGGGGGAGGAGAGCAAGGGGGTGGCGAGGGAAGGAAGATGTGAACGAGGATGGAGGCGGGAGGCCATTTCGCGGCGGGGTCAATGGGGGGCGATAGTGAGCTGAGGGGGGAGGAAAGGTGAGCGTGGGGACACGGGGTCCGTCGCTATTTTGGCCCAAGCCCCCGCGGCGGCGTCGTTTCCAATCGGGCCAGAGCCGGTACTCCTTTCGTCCGCAAAGTGGTGGATGGGCGGGGGTGCTGGCGAGCGCGCCCGCGCGCGTGCCTAGGCCGTCGCGCGGCCCCGCCCAAAATTTCTCGCGCGCCCAGCCACGGGCGCGCACTCAGGGCGTCGGCGCGAGGCAGAGCTCGCTTAAAGACGGCGTCGAAACCATGGGCGGCGGTTTTCCGCCATGTGTGGTTGGGCCGCTGCAGCCTTGCCCGCGCCTGCCCAAACGCGCCCCAAACAGGGCGCATGGCATGCGCGCCCTTTGTCGGCAACTGCGCCAACGCCGTGTTTTGGCCCACGCATTCAACAAAAAACGCCCCGAACTTGTCGGTGTATGGATGCACGCCTCCCTGCGAGCCTCGCCGAACGCGTTCTAGGGGTTCCCGGATAGTCCCAAACGGCCACCAGAAGCCTAAGTTATGGACCGAGAGCCATCCTATGTTTTGTCAACTCTTGCGCTGTTTTTCTTCTTTCCAAAAAGATGCATTTCGCCTTACGGGGGCTGCCATCCATCAGGCCCTGGGACCACCAGAAGCAGATCGGGGACGAAAAAGCACCCCCAGGGAAGGGGTCGAGATTTGTGGGGCCGCGGATTACAATGATCACATCGGCGAATATTTGTTCTTGAGTTCTCACCTCTGACGAATAGGTATTATTGACCCCCCTCCCCGGTAGCATATGTGTTTTTCAATTGAAGTGCCCTCCCCGGGGCTTGCACCCTGTTATTTACCAGGGAAAGCCTTTGAATTTCAAACTGCGTTGTTGTCCCCGGGGCTACTATGACAACGGCTCCCGCCTTAGAATAATCGCGCTCTCGCTCGGGACTTCCTTGCAAGGCATTTGCCCAGGAATCGCGCTTTCGCATGAGATGTCCTCGCAATTCTTGACGTTTCGTGTATCCCCACCAGCCTATTTGGCAACCTTGCCTGGGCGAGTTGCACCGATCAGGGAAGTAGAGGAGCATGAAGTTGAATAAGTGGTGGGGAACCCGCAAATGTTTAGGATGATGGCCTCTCGGGGGCGGTCTTTGGAGGCCCGGAGGCCACTTGTGGCCGTCTTGGCATCATCTCGGGGCTTCTTGGAGACATGTTCGAGGTCATCTTCGGCTAAGTTGGACCGTCTTGGGGCCATCTTGGAGGGGATCGATCAAAGAAGAGGGGGTACTCAATTAGCGCCGCCCCTCCAGAGCCTTTGAAGTCGACTCTTAGAATATCTTGGAGCGCTCTTGGGCGGTCGTGGGCGCACTTGGAGTCGTTCTGGAGCCCTCTTGAGCCTTTCTGGAGCTCTTTTGGGCCTTTTTGGGGCCATCTTGAGGCCTCGAAGGGCTATCGAAAGCGAACAGTCGATAAGGCACAACACATTGAATTTCCTCGTGTCTTAGATGGGGGCTTCCTTGGAAAGTTCTGGGCGGTCTTCAGACCCCTTGGAGCATGCTGACAGCTACCGTGAGCAGGTCATCTTGGACTCTCTGAGGCCCTCTTGGAGTCATCTTGGGCCAAAGAAGGCGCTCAAACTACCCGCGGGCCGCCCCGTTTAGGTCCAGGGGAGGAGGTAGGGGAAGATGGAAGATGGAAGAGGGATCGAGCTAGACCACCTCCGCCCACAGGGCTGTGGAAATTATTCAGACGCCCTGCCTTCGACGCTCAGGAATCACACTCTCGCTCTGGAATTCGTCATTGTTTACTTGGGAATCGCGCGACCGCTGGAGAAGTCCTGCGATTCACGCAGGACTGACGCTTCCGCGACCCACCCGCTCGACCTGGCCTGCTGGGCCCGCCCGCCCGACCCGCCCGTTAGGGTCCGCCCGCCTGACCCGCCCGGCTGGTTCTGCCGCCTGTTTCCTGCTCCTAACCCCCCTGCCGCTAGTCTGTCTTGTGCTCCATCCTTCTCCCTCCCCCTTGACCCTTCCTTCCTCACTCCCCTCCCGCACTCCTTTCCTCCACGCTGATTGTTTTTTCCCGTCTCCCTCCTCTTCCTGATTTAGGGGCTGCGCCAATTAAACGTGGCATGTAAGGAAGAAGCACCCACAATGGAGGTACGATCGACGGTCGAAGGCGAAGAGGGCCGGTGCCAGGGGTTTCGGATTTAAATTTTGACTGTCATGAGAGCAAATACGTAAGAGCGAACAGTCTGTACATGATTGTTCTTGACCTCGCCGGGCCCAGGGGCTGGCAAAGACTGATCCGGGATGGAAAAGCGTCCCTGGGGAAAGTGTTCAAACTTCAGTGGGTCCACGTTGCGAAATATTGTTCGTCACGACGCCCGGTGTCTTGGAGGTAGTGGCGTGGGCCAAGGGTTGTCTTGTCCGTCGGGCTTTCTGACCTGCACTGGAGGGGTGTAAAGCCGGGGGCGTCGGATTCATCGCATGTATAAATGCGTGCGCGGACAGGGGGTATCGCGGGCATGTGCTTTCACTTGTGTAGGCGCCCCAGGGGTATCCAGTATGCGACCAGCGGATCCCGCACGCGTAAAAGTACATTTGCGGAGTGGGAGTACACAGCAGCCGTTCGGCGCGTGGACCGTTGGCCCGCAGAGAGCAGAGGATGGTATCCCACATGCGGTTGTGTCTTAGCTTTCTGCCAACACGAAGAGCAGTGCATATGGTTTCAAGTTGCCTTGGGAAAGCGCTCGTTGCATCATACAGTATATCTATACGACCACCCTTCGGGTGATAAGGAGGTTCGGGGGGAGGAGGAACCAACGTCTCACTCGATCGGTCTCACTATCAATCTCACTATCGATCTCACTCACTATCGATCTCACTCGATCGATCTCACTCGATCGATCTCACAATCGATCTGACTATAGATCTCATAATCGATCTCACTATCAATATCACAATCGATCTCACATCCAGTCTCACTATCGGTCTCACAGTCGATCTCACAATCAACGTTATCATCATCAACATCATTGTCACCAACGTCATCAAGGCCATCAACATCAGCATCATCATCATCATCATCGGGACACCATCATCATCATCATCATCATCACCTCATCACCGTCATCAGCAACATCATTAGCATCACCACCATCATCATCGGGACACCATAATCGTCACCATCATCATCATCAACGTTATTATCACCGGGACACCATCATTATCATCATCATCATCGAAACACCACCATCATCATCATTTCATCGTCATGAACAGCATCATCAACACCATCACCATGGGGACGCCATCATCATCATCATCACAACCATCATCATCAACATTATCTTCATCATCATTGGGACACCATCATCATCGTCACCATCATCATCATCATCACCCTCGTCATCACCATTGGGACTCCGTGGTCATCAGCATCAGCAGCATCATCGGTCCATTAGTATCATGATCATCTTATTTGGCCTCATCATTGTCGTCATCATCAACATCATCATCATCATCATCTGGACACCATCATCGCCATCAGCATCACTGTTAACATCATCATTATCATCCGGACACCATCATCATCACCACCATGATTACCAACCTCATCATCATCAACCTCATCATCACCATCATCATCATCGGGACACCACCATCGTCATATTCATCATCATCAGCATCATTACCATCATTTCATCATCTCATAATCAACATCGCCAAGATCACCAACATCATCATCATCATCATCATCATCATCGGGACACTACCATCATCATCAGCAACATCAGCATCATCACCATGATCATCATTGGGAGACCATCATCACCACCTTGGCCATCATCACCATCACCATCACCACCAACATCGTCAAAATCACCACCACCACCATCATCATCATCATCAGCATCATCATCATCATCGGGACACCATCATCATCACCACCATCACCATCATCCTCATCAACATCATCGACATCATCATCATCATCATCATCATCATCATCATCATCATCATCATAGCCACTTTGGCTGTAGCATTTGCTGGCGCGGTGGCTTCCATCCTGCACCTGCGGGTCGCGCTGCCATGCACCCTCTTGAGCGCCACGTTGAATGCTACCCTCCCCTATCCCCTGTCGACGTCCTGGCTTTAACGGCCCCCTCTGCGCATATGCCTATGGCAGATGATCGATCCTCGATCCTCGATCGATCCTCAGTTCCGCATGGTGTTGGTGATGCTAATGATGATGATGATGCTGCTGCTGATGATGATGATGAGGAGGAGGAGGAGGATGAGGAGGATGATGATGATGACGATGCTGATGATGGTGATGCAAATGCTCATGATGATGCTGAAGTTGATGCTGATGACGATGATTGTGTTTACGATGCTGATGGTAGTGATGATGGTTGTTGCTAAATCTGGCAGACCATACTCGTATCGTGAATGGTTGCAATCACGATTAGTGGATCTTCATGTGTACAATGTGGCTGCACTACCAATTCAAGCAATACGAATACGGCTCGTACGATGACTTGTTAAACAAATGAGCCATTTTAATGAAACCAACAAAGTAGGATGATAATGACTGAGGCGGGAGGAGGGATTGAGGAAGACGAGGCAGCGAGGGTATTCCAGTCTGTCACTGCTGGGAGTTGCGGATGTTTTGGATGTTGTGTTGAAGGCGTCTTGAGGTTCGGAAGACCTTCAAGGGCTTCCAGGTCTAAGAGGTTCTAGATATCCGAAGGGGGGAGGGTGACGAGAAAGGAGGGGTGTGGTTGTGCAAAATACAATCACGCTCACGTGCCCGTCGTACTCCTCCTCCTCCTTCCGAACTCAAAGGAGCCCGAAGCCTTCTTTCGGGAGCACGCGACAATCTTGGATAATCACACGGAGCCGTTAGGAGCCCCCTTCAAGACCCTATCCCCTCCCATCCCTTCCTTCCTGACTTCCCTCCTCCACCCCTCGTGTAACAAGTTGCCGTTCCGCCCCTCACGACCAAACGACGCTCCCAGAGCGGCCGACAGCACCCCGCCTCGGTCCTCTAGGGTCGATGCGGCAACGCCTGGCGCTCCCCCCTGCGAGGTCCCGGAGGGCGTGGGCTTCAGGGGCCTCCTGGAGCTTCTGTCCGACCTGCACGACCGGAAGGTGAAGGAGCTCGAGGCCGAGGTGGCGAGCGCCCGCGAGCTTCTGGTGCTGGAAGAAGAATGCACAGACACACACACACACACAACAAAAGAAACGTTCGGAGTCCCGCGGGGATTCCGAGACAAAGGAATCTGCGCGGACCTCCGACAGTTTGCAGGCGAATTCGATGGTAAGAATTGGTGACCTTCCCAAGGGTACACTTTGCATCCTCGTTTTCTCGGTCCGTCCTCAGCCACTCTCGATTGCCAGCCTCCTTCGAAAAGCTTCGACGTGGGCGTCCAAGGGGCTTGCATCCTCATCGCGTCTCTTTAATTACTACCAGTCTTGACTGTTCGGTCATGGTCCTATTCTCAGCGTGTAGTTGGGAAGACGCCCATATACGTAAAGTGCCCCGCACTTATCGTGAACCCTGCGCGGTTGGTTCTTGCCGTAGGGCCACCCGACCCTGCTTGGCGTGTGCGCCCCCGCGATGCTTAGCGTGTCAACGGCTTATGTTTCGCAGGCCCCGAATCCACATTCAGTAAAGACCCATGCCAAGAAACACCCTGCTTGCCCCCAGGGTGCCCTGGGTTTCGCGGGATTGGATGGTGTTGCGATGGGAAGCGTGACTCGTTCGCACCAGAAACCAAGGGACGTCCTGGGGTCTCGAGGTTGGGTTTCTCGTGGAAGATCTCTTGTGGTCGAGCCCCCACTTCACACGCTAGGGGTATGACCGTGGCCGTGTGTGCTTATGCCTTTGTTGCTACTTCACCAGGTGCGGCCGCCGCGGTGGGACCCCCCCGCGGATCTGGAGCCCGGGGAGCTGGAGCTCCTTGCGGAGCTCGTCCCCCCCGTGGGGCCGGAGCGGGAGGCCTCCTCGACGCCCTCCTCCCCGCAGTGGGTCCCGCGCGGCGCGAGCGCGGGAGCGGGGGAGGATCGAGAGCGAGAAGCCTCCTCGGCCAGGAGGAGGCGGGGGAGCAGGAGAGTGGGAGGAGGGGGGAGGAGGAGGAAGGGGGAGGAGGAGGAGGAGGAGGAGGAGGAGGAGGAGGAGGAGGAGGAGGAGGAGAAGGAGGAGAAGGAGGAGGAGAAGGAGGAGGAGGAGGAGCCTTAGACCCCCTCAGTTCTACCTTTATGCAGGCCGCGTCTTCCGACTTACAGGCCCGCATCTGGCGAGCGAGGGTGGTGGAGGAGTAGGAGGAGGAGGAGGAGGAGGAGGAGGAGGAGGAGGAGAGGGAGTTTGCTTGACTGTCTGAAGGGGGGTCCAGGGGCTCAAGGGGCTCGAAGGGCTCTGGGAGTTTCTCGGCTACTCCAGAGGGGTCCCCCTTCCCTCCAGGGAGAGAAGAAGGGGGACGGAGAAGGAGGAGAACCATGATATCCCGCTGCCGTACAACAGCACGACCGTCATGTTTTCCCCGCTTCCGGCCCCGATGCCCCCCGCGGGCCGATTCGTCTCGGCAGATCGGTGGCAGAGATTGGTCGAGGGTCCCCGGTGTGATCGCTTTTGCGACGCATTGCTTGTTCACGACGTCGGGTTTCGGGCCTCATGGCCAGCGTATCTGCGGGTTACAAGTGGGGGTGGTTAGATGGTTCATTGCTTATTGATCACCCCCACCCTTAGGATTCAGAAGCGGCAGGCGTATTGGGGATGCCTCGAGCGAGTCACCGATGCCCTCTGTGGCCGAGCAGAGGGCGCTGCTGGGGGCCTCTTGGGCGGCATCATGACGCCTCGTCGGGCCTCGTGAGCTGTTCTTCGGGCCTCTCGGCCTCCTTGGCGGCCTCCCCCTCCCTCTTGGACTGGCTTGCGGCTTTCTTGAAAAGTCTTGAAGGTCTGGTGGGCCCTCGTCGGCCCTTGTGGGGCCCTCTTGGGCTGTTTTAAGGGCCTCCTGGTTGTCCTGGGTGCATATTGGGGCTGTCTTGGTGCCCTCTTGGGTTGTCTTGGGGCTCTCCGGGGCCCTCTTGGGGCCGTCCTGGACAGTCTGACGCCTGCTTTATATTATTGTAAGTTTCCAGGTGGACTGGCCGACGCGAGTAGAGTATGCTGCCCGCGTCGACGTCGTTATATGATGTGATTTGCGTTGCTGCCCATACTTAGGCGCATTGACCCGCAGCTTGATCGCAACTTGAAGCCGCATAACGGCGGTTCATCTGACTCGGAGGTATGTCCGCCGGCTCGAAAGAGGGCTGTCTTTTGGAAACGGGCCAGGGTGTAATATTGGTCTGATTTGCAACAGCGAGCCACGAGCGCGGCGGCTCACCTGGGCTGCCGCGCAAATTGTAGGTCATGGCCAGAAGGAACACCGTTTGAGTATCAGAAGAACCGAAGCCGACACGTCCTCAGCATGAGCATGCAATCCCCGAGGGTTATGCGGGAATCTCGTGCGGGGTGTTGAGGCCCTGATCTGAGGGCCTCAAATCTGTCCTCAACGATCTGAGGGCCTCAAATCTGTCCTCAACGTGGCCCCATGAATGCACGAGGACTGTGCAGGAGTCACGTTTGGGGGATGTTGAGGTCCTCACGCGTGCGCGCAAGATTCTCGAGGACTGCGTGGGGATCATGTGTGGGGGATGTTGATGCCCGTATTCGAACCACAGTATGCCGAACAAAATGAAAGCAAACCGTATAGGGACACCAAAGAAATCATTTAGTTGTTTACTGGTGTTGGCAGTCTGGGGGTCCTCGTTGGAGCTCTATTGAGGCGTCTGGAGCTGTCTCGGAGACTCTGTGGCCATCTGGGGTATCTCGGAGTATTGGGAGCCCCTTCCGGGCTGTATTGTGACCCTCCCGGATGTCCCTTAAGGCGTCCTGGGCGCCCCTGCGGCCGAAAATTTCATGATTGCAGCACGATGAGAGACCAATCAGGTTATTGTGTGATGTCGGTCACTTGAGCCAGCTCCGAGGGCCCCCAGGACGGCCCAAGAGACCCAGAAGGTCCCCAAGGCGGGCCCATGCGGCAACTGTTGGGCATGTCGGAGTCTTAGATTCGCTGACGCGGTTCCAAAGCGACTCGCGCAAAGTCGCGCGGCAAGCGTCCTGGAAATCCGCAGGAGCGGGCGAGGCGATGTCAATGACCACTGCAATACTTCGCCGCAGCGCGCCATGCCGCCAATTAGGAGCGCTGTAATGCAGTTGCACGTGCAGCATCCGAGAGCAAGCAGATAAACGAGGGCGAATGTGCAAACGCAAGACTAGCAGTATTCTTCAGCCCCAGCCCAAGCGGGCGTCCTCAAATGCGTTACCACGGAGTCAAGACGATGAGGACGATGACCGCAATATTTTGAAATTCTCGAAGACTCTGGTACTCGGACCCATCACGGGACCTCGGGGCACAATTCTGCGTACAAGAGGCACGGTTGTTGGATCTCAGGTCCAGGTAGGGGTGTGGACGGTCAGGTGGCGAACCGTCTTCTTCCTCCTTTGCCTCGCACTCCCCGCTACTGCAGCCCCCTTGGCGCCTCGGGGCAGCCGCCTCGGGTCGCGCACTCGGCGACACCGGTGCCCGCCCCTGCCAGTGTCCCCGGGCCCCTCCTCCCGCTGCAGGCCAGTTGCGCGAACCTGCCCGGAGCCGTCGACTTCGTGAACCCACCGCCACTCTCGCCGCGTTCGCATGATCCCGCGGGCCCTGACCGGTTTCCGCGGGAGTTCATGAAGGTCGTCCCCTCGGAACAGGACCAGAGCGCTCCCGTGGCAGAAGGCAGTTCGATGCGGCGAACTTCCCAGGTGCTTCTCAACCGAACCACCAGCATCAGAGCCCGATCAAAGGGAACGGAGTCGGATTCAGCACACTTGGGCCGATGGGCGGACGAGCTAGCGGGAACGAGCTCGGTAATGTCGTTCATGGATTACTTGGTCGACAACGACGGCAGGCTCGGCGAAAGTCGAAGAGGAAGGATTGCTTACAGACTCGTAAAGAATGTCTACTTCGACGCACTGTCGTACGCTTTTATTATCGCCAATTCTATATTCATCGGTGCCACAATGCAGCACCATCTGACTTGCGCCATCGAGGGCTGCACGATTGACGGTATCTTTGCTGCCGTGGAGATTGCTTTCGTGGTCTGGTTTTTCGTGGAGTTGCTCTTGAAGCTTCTGGCGGAGGATGTCAGGGTGTTCTTGGGTCCGGACCGGATGTGGAATACGTTGGACCTTGTCTTGGTGGCCTCAGCGATTGGGCAGTTGATAGCGGAGTCAGATGCGCCGAGCATCATCCTCACCAGGAACGTTCGCCTCTTCAGGGTCGTAAGTATCTTACGCGTTTTCCGGGTTGTGCGCATATGCCAGAGTCTGCGGGTCATGATCAATGCTATCTTGCGCTCTTTGGATGCGTTGTTTTGGGTTTTTGCCGTCCTCGCGTTTTTCATGTACATCTTCGCGATGGCGTTCATGCACGCCGCAACCGAACAGTTCCGAAGCAAAAAGACTACGCTATTCTTGGAATGCCCTACATGTTCCAGCGAGCTGGAATGCGCCGCCACATGCGCGCACCTCAAGTGGCTCGAGGACCACTTTGGGTCCCTCTTCAAGGTGATGCTGACGCTCTTCCAGAGCCTGACTGGTGGTCTGGATTGGGCCGAAGTGTACGACCAATTGCACCTGATACACGGTGTTCATAGCTTCACGTTCGTAGTGTTCATTTACTTCATCGTGTTCTTGGTGATGAATGTGGTGACCTGCCTGGATCATCTTGAGTCTGTCCTGGGCTTTCTTTGTGAAATGCAGTTTTCGATTCGGTGTGTTGGGAAGTGCATTGGTTTCGCGTCTTCATACCTCAAGAATGAGAGCATGTTACATGTAATTTCCTGTTTTTGTTGTTGTTGTTGATCAAGCGTGTTGTCATTCGTGTTTCAGCGTTTAAAACTCAATTTGTTTGCCAGGCGTTGGGCCAGTGGGCCTCAGGTCCTGTTCAGTGTGCCATTTGTGCTGCATAATTCTATGTATACATAATTTCTGTGTGTATACACATGTGTATACATCTCTCTCGCTGTATAGATATAGGCATATGGGAGATCCCGGGCCCGGGGCCCAGGCGAGCCCCAGAGGTCCCAGAAAGTCCGGTAATTTTCCCAGACCGCTCAAGATAGCCTCCCTCTGCCCCTCGCGGCCCCCAAACGCGCCCCACGAGAGGTTCAAGAAAGCCCCAGATGACCCAGCGACAGCCCCGAGGCGCCCCAAGTCGTCCCAAGAGACCCCCAAGAGGACCCCAAGAGGGAGGGCCCCAAGAAGCAAACATCGTCCCGTTCTTCCGGGAAGACGTAACCTCATGCCCGTGAGAATAAACACTAGGGGATAATAAAGTTCGGGGTTCAGGGAGAGATAATTAAAGTAGCCCAGCAAACCTCAGCATAATCTCGAAGTAAGAGATGATCAAGAGGAGACCAAGCCGAAGCAAAAATAATAAAGCATAAAATAAAAAGACATGATAGGAGGAGGAGAAGGAGGAAAATAAGAAAAAATATCGAGTTTCAAATCTACTAGATTTGATTTACAAGCGCTTTATGATTTTTTTTTGTTTGTAAGTGCTCGTGTAGGGTAGCTCATGTGCTTCAATTTCCATGGACAATCAACCCCAGAGATAAAAAAAAATTCAGGCGAGCGTGGGGACAGAGAGAAATATAAAAGAAGAAGAATACAGTAGAATACTAATAAGAAAGAAGAAGAAGAGGATAATAAGAAGAGGACGAAGAAAGGAAAAATCCAAAATTCCAAATCTATCAATTTTAATTTACAAACGCTTTATGAAAATTGATGTTTTAAGTGCTCGTGTAGGGTAGCTCATGTGCTTCATTTTCCATGGATGATCAACCCCAGGGATAAAAAAAGTTCAGGCGAGCGTGAGGACAGATAGAAATATAAAACAAGAAGAGGAAATTATAATAATAAGAAGAGAAGAAGAAGAGAATAAGAAAAAGAGAAGAAGAACGGAAAAATGGAAAGTTCCAAATCTATCAATTTTAATTTACAAACGCTTTATGAAAATTGAATTTTTAAATTGCTCATGTAGGGTAGCTCATGTGCTCCCCTTTCCATGGGTAACCAACCCCAGAGATAAAAAAGTTCAGGCGCGCGCGGGGATATATACATATATTAAAAGGAAGATAATACAAAATATAGATAAAAAGAAAAACTTGCTGGTTTAGCTTGACACATCCTGAAAAAAAGTGTGATCGCTTCGCTTGATGTTGCTATATCAACATCGCTTGATGTTGCTATCTCAACATAGCGTTTCGAGGTGATAATGAAGTTCGGCCTCAGCGCTCGCCGCCCAATTTGAATTTTGTATAGGGCGACGATAATCAACTCTAAACACTGAAGGGGGGGGTCCCTTTATTATCATCGGCATGCGGTTATATTTTAGCATACGCATCTCTTGGGCTTTCACAGCGTCCACAATGGCCCAAGAGGCTCCCAAGACGACCCAGGAGGCCCCCAAGAGGGTTCCGAGACGGCCAATGAGGGGCCCAGGACAGCCCAAGAGGCCAGGAGGCCCCCAAGGGCCCCTGAGAGGCCCCCACGAGGCCTCGAAGAGGCCCCAAGAGGCTGCCGGGAGCCCCGGCCCAGGAGGAGGAGGGGAAGGAGGATGACGTGGATGAGATGGGACCATGGTAAGCCCAGGACGCCTCAGCGATGTTGCCAGACGCCTTCCCGTCCCAGGACCCCTCAGGTTTCTGTGTAATCATTATGCAGCCCCCCAGCAGCGGCACCTTCAAATTCAAGCGACGACGACGATGATGGTGATGATGTTGTTGATGATGGTGATGATGATGATGCTGCTACTGATGATGATGATGATGATGTTGATGATGATGCTGATGATGATGATGGTGATGGTGATAATATTGACGACGATGATGCCATGGATGATGATGATGTTGATGATGATGATGACGATCGTGAGGATGATGAGGCTGGTGATGATGATGCTGTTGACGCTGATGCTGCTGCTGATGATGCTGATCGTGATGATGATGATGATGATGATGATGCTGATGATGATGATGATGATGATGATACTGATTATGATGGTGGTGATGGTGGTAAATGTTATGATGATGACGGTGGTGGTGGTGATGATTGTGGTTATGCTGATGATGAAGTTGATGATGATGATGATGATGATGATGATGATGATGATGATGATGATGATGCCGATGATGCTGATGATTCGATTGTGCAGCCAATAATGTTCGGAAGAGGGGTTGAGGGCAGGAGTGCGATTGATGCTGAGATCGTCAGACCATCGAGGCCCTAATGTGGTGAATTCCATCTAACTTCCGGGGTCTCCCCCCTCCAAGATAGCTCCCTACGCGCCAGGCGTGCCCAGAAAATATTCTGAGACGGCCGGAAGAGGACCAGACAGGGGGTTTCCAAATCCAATGCGTACCACTGGTTTGCATGTCTTCGCATTGGCTTTACAGTTGTTCCCCATAGACAATCATGCATCTCTGTTCGGTCCGCGTTCCTGCTACTTGTTCGACTCGCGTTCCATAAATTTGCGGGTACGCTCACGCGTGCAGTTGTCAGTTTGTCACAGGCTGGAGCTTGCTAGAACCTGAGCGCGCGCGTGGATCGCGCGCGTGGTTCGGGCATGCGGGGTGGGGGGGGGAATGCAATGGAATGGACCCCTTCGCGATGCGAAATTCCTGACTGGCTAAGTGGAAAGCTTAGCACGACGAGTGGCCGCCTGATCCTTTGGCGGCTTCCCCTCGATAAAGTTATCGAGGTACCTGCGCCCGACAATGCTAATCTTCCCAGAACACTCAGACGCAATATTCTTCCTGAGCTGCTCAGCTCCGTAGAACCACAGGAGGAGCAAATCCACGATTGGGAAGATGAGGAGAAGAGGGCCGAATGAGAGGGGTGGATACAACCTCCCACCAAGTGAGCCTTAAACCCCCTCGGCAGTCGGGAAACATAAACACGTGAATTAACAGGTTCCAGGTCGAAACACGGCGAATTCAACAACTCCGTGCGTGTGTCAAAAAAAACAGATGACACCTACTACATTTCCTACCACTGTCACCGAGCACATGGGAAGAGCCGAAGAGAGCGACGGTGGATGGAGCAGGAGGGGGAGACGGCTTGGTGGGAGCACCCTTGGACGGGGAAGGCCGAGTCGCCATCGTCTCCAGCGTGGATCTGAGCAACCGTCCTCTGACACGAGAAGCCTCCACCTCAGTCTTTCGCACACGATGTCTAGTGCCTGGGCCGATCCCCGCTGAGTCATCTGCAACACTTGCAAACTGATTTGCAACGGAGTTGCCAACACCAAGAAGAAACAACGGGGAACCGCACGTGTGAAGATAATCAGTCCCGATGTGTGCTGGAACTTGCAAAACCAACAATCTGCGACGCATCGCGGCCTTGAGACTGTATCACATCACGAATGAGCTTCTAGGTGGGGGCGTTGGCGCAATGCGGCCTGGAGTGGTCCCCTTTTATGCCAGACGTCCTCAACGGCACTGTTCTCAGTAACATAGACGATGGGCCCTCTCGAAAACTTGACCCCCAAGTGAAAGCCCCAACCTTCAGCACGAGGAACCCGCTGAGGGAGCCCAGGGAAACCTCCAAAGACGGCAGCCCGTACACGCGGAAGATCATAAGTAACGATAGACACCGCAGACACCCCACTTCTTCGAAGGCGCTTACCTCTGGGGTCTTGCCCACTACTAGCACCTCCAACTGTAACACTGGATTATAGCACTGGCTGGTGCTGAGCACGTGCTCGTTGGCCGCACCCTTGGATTCGGAAAAGAAGTGCCAGGCCTCCTCGCATGTGGGCCCAGGTACCTGAGTCCAATATTTTGGGATGAGACCTAGAAACCAGAAACAGGATTCGGAATCTTGGCCCGACTGGGCCCTGATGAGGGGGAACTGGGAATCCTCATAGATTGTTTGGCCTTCGTTTCTGTAGGAAAACCAGTGTCGGTGGGGGGGTGTTATGAAGCCAAGCCGCACTTGGGACGTACATCGTCCTCGATGCAGCTCGTCTCTTCACGTGCTCTAGACATCGGCCAAGTGTCACTAATAGCGGTAGTGAGCAAGGTCTCGGCGAGCCTGGATTTGTTGGGAACCCCTTGCAAGACTTTGATGGTGGACTTGAGGGGCTCGTTGTCGGCCCCGTGCTGGAGGTAATGCGAAGCAGCCGAAGCCCAGAGTTTCGCCCTAACCGAGCCCTCGAAACTGGATAGCCACCCACTGATATCCTCAGAGGCGGTGACCGGGTCGTCAGGAAACATCCAGCCGAGTCCAGGTTCTCCCCCCGCCAGCGGGTATGTCGCATTCCGTGGTAGAGAACGGGTTCCACCCGAACTCGAGCAGGTACGCGATACACATGGAGATCGGCCTTCGGCTGTGCTGCAACACCTGCCGCGGCGGAAGAGACCGATGCTGCTGTGCAAGAACGGGCCAGACAGGTCGCATTGGCGCACGAATGCTGAGCTCCTCCAGCCACGTCTCCAGTCGCAAACGGAGCCCCTCACGGGGTAAAAGGTAAGCGGAGTCGTGACCGTCGGCCCTGAGATCCACAAGTGTGGTAAAGGCACCTCCCCCGTTTGCCCGACGATGCCGTATGCCCGGGACGACGCCGACATCGCGTGCGGAAGCATCCGAAGGCCCTTGCAATTTTGTGCCCGCACGTCCCTACCGCCAGAGGCCCAACCCTCTCGATAAGCACCATGCTGACATACGACACACTTCTGAGACGCCAGTGCACAACCACGCATGCGCGTACTCATGTACTTGGCCTTGACAACGCACTTGGTACGAGTGGCCCTGGCGAGCCTGTCGGCGCCGAGGTCAACCCCCAGGCAGGTGCTCTGAGGGGCTGCCTGCAACCCAAAGCCGCGCTTCTTGAGCCGACGCACAACATACTTGCCGTCCGCAGCGGGCGAGCACAACGCTACGCTCTTGCTGGCCACCTGGAGCACATACTCCGCCAACGTCTGACATGTGCCGATGATGCAATGGAACAACCTGCCTCTAACAATTGTGCGCGTGCCCGCGACGTGCTGCGTGAGGTCGTCGACCCAGATGCGACACGACATGTGAGGATATGCTGTGGTAAGGCGCTCCAAGATATAGAATTCAGGACATCGACCCAAACGAGTGCCATTGCGAAGCCCCTGGGTGATACTATGACTCGGCTGAAGCACAGGAGAGCACGAACCCATCTGCGAAACGTCACGTGGTGCGAGGCACATCTGCAGTTCAAGCGCGAGCACTTGAGGTGGAACGCCCATCTTGAGAGCAGACCTGACAAGATGACCCCACTACATAGCATCATAGAAGCCTTTGATCTCCAACAACCCTTCCCCATACGGAGTTCCTAGGCGAGACAATCCTTCATCTCGCAGCGCACGCAACAAGACCTCGCGGAGGGCGGAGCTCCCGCCACTGCCGCGTCCTTGTCGGGCTGGGTGTCCCTGGACCAGGAACGGGTGATGTCTTCACGGGGAGAGACCACGTCCTGGAAAACATTAACATAAGCCCAGTGACGCTGCCCCCCCCGTCTCTCTTCCCAAAGAGACGACCCGGGACCACCAGGAAATGCCAGGGCCAGGACAGGCAGGCTTCGCAGACCCCAAACAACTCGGTGAGCTCGGAGATACCTCGGGGGGAGGAGACGCTCCATGTCGCAGGGGGGTCACTTCGTCAACCCCACGTCCTGCTTTGACCTTTATCGAATGACGAGCTCATTGAACACGCTTAGGTTGCAACGGTTCCAGCTGCTCCACAGCGGCCGCGCCCCTGATGTCTTTGAAGATACGGCGTCGATGTTTGGTGGTTGGGGGCTTCATGCGGCATGCCAGTTGAGGGCCTTTTTGTCAACGATGTCAACCGGACGATACAATGCTTTACCATCAACCAGAAGATCATCTGGTACAGGAGGGACCTTCTTCAGGGCGTTGTGGAGTATTCCCGAGGCCCCAGGCGATGCCACCCAATCCCTGAGCTGCTTGAGTTATCCCCGGGCAGCCCGACGACGTGCACGGGCAGTTGCGCGCTTGGCCGCAAAGTCCATCCTGTGCACAAGGCATCAGGGAACGAGGAGACACGTGGTAGTTTGGCCTGCCAGTCGCTCCAGGCAGGGGCGTTCTCGCTGTCGTCGCCGTGGGCAGCACGCCAAGCAGCGGAAGAATCTACCAACGGAACGTGCACACCAGGTGGTTGGTCGCTTGCCAAGGCCCACAACGCTTCATATAGCTGAGCGTGCTGCACATCACAATTGCCACGACTGCGATGTTACTTAGCCTGGCCAGAACCGTGGAGAGACGGCTCCACCATGAAGCCACACTATCATGTAATGGTTGATCGCGAGTTTTCTCCACGGCCTTGGCTTTGACGACCTGGAATAAAAGGCCCCTGGGCCCGAGGCGCTAAACATCCAAAACGACATTCGTGATGCTCAATACTCTCGAGCTCCACGGTAGACACCCAAGCACCATACAAGGCTCCCAGATGCAGTACGTGTTGGCCCCCCACCGCGAAAGCATCATATTCCCTGACAATGTTTCAAAAGTCATCGGCGTCGTGCGTGTGAACGTAGCCGACCTTGTCCCTGCAGGCGCTCCAGAGGCTGGGGGAGAGGGAGAAAGTTGAGAGATCTCAAACTGCCGAGGGCTGGTTCGGGGTAGGGGCGGTCCTGTATGTAAAGCGGCTTTATTTTCCGCAGTGCTCCCGCCAGGCTGACAAACCGTCGCTTGGGTCGCTTTGGACTTGGGCTGAGGGGGGCGGCGGCTGCGCCAGCCGTCTCGTCCAAAACGGAACGTGCAACGTCGAGCTCGACGTCGCACTCACAGTCTGAGGCGACTTCCCAAAAAGAGACGGGAGCCTTCTCGGAGCCTTCGAGGTCACCAAACATGGCGCGGGCTGCTTCAGAGACGCGCTCCCTCGACAACGGCTGCTGACTCCCACGCTGCTAACTGACAATGCTGGACTTAGACCTCCTGGATAGGGGGGAGCGCGGGGCCCCGACGTCTGCGGATGGCGAGGTGACAAAACCAGCTCACGACATAGCAGCTGGTTACCTGAGCCTCGGATGCGGATCTCCAGAGCACAGTGCGGTCGCCATGGGATTGCAAACATTGCCGAGACGCTTGCAAGGTACGGCACACAATAATGCTTGGCTGCAGCGTACTCTCAAAAAGCGCATCTGTCTGACTCACACGTGGTACGCGTTCTTGAAGGAAAACCTGGAGGAGACGGAGGGGGAGCAGGACGAGGAGGACGACACATTGGACGAGGGGGAGCAGGACAAGGAGGTGGAGGAGGATACGTGCAAATATGGAGGAGGAGGAGTGCGAGTATGGTGGAGAGGGGGCGGAGGAGGCGGAGGAGGAGAAGAAGGAGGAGGAGGTGGACATGCAGCACGACGCCCCTTTTTGCGTACGCATGAATATGTCCCTTCTCAAACGGCCCCTTCAAACACGAGCGACGGTGTTGATGATGTTGGTGATGCTGATGTTGCTTATGAAGACGGTGAAGATGACGATGGTGTTGATGATGTTGATGACGATGCTGATGATGACGATGACGATGAATCTGATTAAGTATGATAACGACGATGACCCGGGTGATTTTAATTGTGCGGACGCAGATGACGATGACGACGATGGTCATGATGACGGTGACGATATTGAGCATGATGATGACGATGGCGACGATGATATTATTGATGATCGTGGTTGACGGTATTACTGATGATCGTTATGACTATGACGACGGTATTATTATTGTTTATGATGATGGGGGATGATGCCAATGATGATCAGCACAGGTCGAGCACAGGAGTGGGTTGGATGCTGAGGTCGTCTCAGGAAAAGACCATGGATCCCCCGGTATAGTCATATGTATAGATCTCCCATGGTCCCCCCCCCACACATACATAGCTCTCTACGCTCCCATCATGCCCAGAAGAGGGCCTGAGAGAGCCGAAAGAGGACCACCCAGAGGGCCTCCAAATTCAATGCGTACCACTGTTTTGCAGGGCTTCGCATTGGTTTTGTTTGGGTAGACCATTTGCAATCATACGCCTCTGCTCGGTCCGCTCTCCTGCTTCTTCTTCGACCCGCGTTCCATCAATGTGCGGATACGCTCCTGCGTGCAGCTGTGACTGTGTTGGCTTCCAAAAACATTAAAGCGCGCAAAGCGCGTGTTTCTGGTGTATGTATATATACACATATGGAAAGAAAGAGAGAGAGAGAGAGAGAGAGAGATAACGAGAGAGAGAGAGAGAAAGAAAGAGAGAGAGAGAGAGAGCGAGATGGAGGAGAACACAGTTTCACAGCTTTCAATCTTTGTGCAGTCAAATCTGCAAGAACTCAACCAACAGCAAGCAGCCGTGCCACTTGTTTGAGCACGTGTCGTAACGAAAGGACCGCGAAAGGGCTGATTTGTTTTAACTTACGTAAACACAGACAACAAGTCGCTTTCACCCGTCAAGAACCACATGCCGAACGGGGCCAGGACGAGGATAAATCTTTTCCAGAGCAGATGAACCAAGGTGACCGGCACAGTGGTTGACGTCACATCGAGCGTTGCCAAGCGCGACCATGATCTCGTGGTCAAGGTCGGGAGGGGGACAAGCGACACCACCACCACAAGCGAGTCATTACAGGGAGCAGATCCACGATGCCTCCCCGAGCTGGAAATTGGAGATGTCTCGATCGAGACGCCGCAAAGCAGGGGACCGAACGACTGGGAGGACACCCCTGGCTCACCGCGATGATGGTGATGTCAGTTTTCCTTGCTCCTACAAGGAGGAGCTGAAACGGCTGAAGCAGTACACGCACAACATTAAGGAGTTCTTCAAGCAGGCCGACACGGACAGGTCAGGCCAGCTCTCGTTCGACGAGTTCACCAAGCATTTGCAAGACCCCATGGTCAAGGCGTATTTCAACACGCTTGATTTGGATACCAGGTAGCGGCTTCGTCCCTTCTCCTCATCTGGACTTTTCCTGGAGCGCGTCAGCGTCTCGAGGTGAATTCCGCAGTGGCGACGCTGTTTCCCCTAGAGGCCCCAAATGCAAACACTCAACGCGCACTTTCAAATCAATCTGAGGGCTCGTCCAAAATTCTGCCACAGGAAAGTCCAAGCCCCCTCTTGGCATTCACCTTGAGAAGTGTAACGTCCCGCCACCAAACGTTGACAGCTCTCACGGTCCGAGATGGGCCTCCAAATGCGGAGAGTCGAGGATCACCTCTTCGAACCTCCTCTTTCCCCTTGGCTGGTCTACTCTTCCGCCCTGGCTGGGATCCTCCTCCTCCTTCTCCTCCTCCTCCTTGTCTTTATCCAGGCAAGCGGACGTGCTGTTCCACCTGCTCGACCGCGACGAGAGCGGCGAGGTGGGAATCACAGAGTTCCTGGACGGCTGCCTCCGCCTCAAGGGCGAGGCCCGGAACCTCGACATGAACCTGGTGATCTACCAGTTGGAGCACATCGTAAAGGACGGGGGCAATGGGGGGGGGGGGGGCTCAGAGGAGAAACTCGCACGTACCCATTCCGATGCCTCATTTTTCCCTTCCCTCGAGATTTTTCAGCCTCCTGGGTGGGGGGGGCTCGCCGCCACGGCTGGATTCGCTTCGGAAGGCTGGTCCGAACGCACTCCGGGAGAGTTCCAGGGAGCAGCGGTATCGGTTTCTTGTTCTCCCAGGCCTTCAACTAATAGAGCCAGAGTGCGCACAAGGGATCCGATAGTCGCACCGCGTCGCCGATGCGGCGATACAGGGCCGTCTGGGATTGGAATCCTCCAACCTCACATCGGCCGTTTTTGGCACCAGCCACTTTGTGGGCCCTCGATGCCGCAGCTGCATCTGCCTCGGGTTGAGGTCCTGATCGAGGAGCGATCGAGGAGAGGCCTGGGGTTCCTCCTCCTCCTTCTCCTCCTCCTCGTCCTCCTCCTCCTCCTCCTCCTCCTCCTCCTACTCCTCCCCCGTCTCCTCCTCCTCCTCCTCCTCCTCCTGGCACCTGTTCTCATGGTGTCAGCGCCACACTCGCCCTGGGGCATACTGCCAGGGAAAATCGCAGTGGACACGCGGGAGCGGGAAGGCCGCCGTCACTTGGCGCGGGCAGGGATGAGTTTGGCTCCCCTGAACCCGAAGCAGTGTGGTCTGAACTTTGGCCCACTGCCGTGGCGTCAGCTGCAGCCACGATCGTGCATTTCTGGGAGAGGTGGTGCCGTGTGGCACGTGAACCCCATGGGGTTTGCGCCCACTCCCAGACGGGGATCCCGGGTTTCGAGATCAGTTAATCTCGCCCAGAGCTGACCCCGTATGCACGTGCCCGTCGGCTGATACCCCTAGCTGGCCCTGCCGCTCTTTGAGCATACGGCTGAAAACCGTAGGCAGGTGAGCCACGCCAGCGCAGCCCCCGCCAGAATGCGGGTGAACCATGGCCGCGGGGGGCCGTCGTCGGGGCAGCGAGTCACGTGGCGAGTTGCCCCCTCTATGCCCGATGTGTTCACGCGCGGGTGGCGGCACCACGGGTGACCGTCTACTTGTACAGCAGATGTCCCAACAGATGTCCTCCTCCTCCTCCTGCTCCTCCTCTTCCTCCTCCTCCCCCGTCTCCTCCTCCTCCTCCTCCTCTTCCTCCTCCTCCTCCTCCTCCTCCTCCTCCTAGTCCTCCTCGTCGTCCCCCTCCTCCTCCTCCTCCTCCTCTTCCTCCTCCTCCCCCGTCTCCTCCTCCTCCTCCTCCTCCTCCTCCTCCTCCTCCTCTTCGTCGTCCACGAGAACGTTTCTTTGATGGGAGCAGTGCATATTATCGTCAACCTTGCACGGTGAGCGTGACACGATCCCGACTGGATACGCTCTACTTCCCCCCTTGTTTCCTTCCTTCTCCTCATCCCTACTGCCTTTTCCCTCCCTCCTCAACCCATCTTCCCTCTTCCTCCCTATCTCCCACCTCTTCCCCCGCCTCCTTCTCATCATCATCAACCTTCTCCTCTCTCCCCTCCTCGTCACCAGCCCTCTTCGTATTTGCTCTCCTGCTGCTGTTGTTCCTACTCTCTCTCTCTCTCTCTCTCTCTCTCCCGTCCACCCCTCCTTCATTCCCCCTCCCTCCTTCTGCCTCCTCCCTCCCTCCCGTCCGCTTCCCTCCTCGTCGTCCTCCTCCTCGTCGCGACCCCTGTCAAAGTAGAGAGAACACAGATCCCGGAGGGGAGCAAGCAGCTGCTGAAGCACATGAGACCCCCCGTCGCGGAGCCGCCCGTGGCGTCCCGGACCCTGGCCTGAGGAGGTGCGGCCTTTCCACTTCCCCTCTCCCTCTCCCCCCCCTCTCCCTCCCCTCCCTCCCTCCCCCCCTCTCCCTCCTCTCCTTCCCTCCATCCCCTCCCCTCCCCTCCCCCTCCCTGCCCATCCTCCCCCTCCCTGCCCCTCCTCCCTCCCCCTCCTCCCTCCCCCTCCTCCCTGCCGCGATGCCCGCTGCAGCGTCTGCGGCCTTGGGGCTTGGCTTTCTGGGGCACGAATTTCCGCCTTCCTCGACACGGTCCCGGAGGCCTGCCGCTCACCGTTCCTTGCCGAGCCCCTCCTTGAATTTCGCTCTTGGCCCCCCTCGGACCGGAAGTCTTCGGAGCGGTGGCCAGCCACTTTTGCACAGGGGGTCCAGCCACACTGTGCCGGCACAAAGCATGGTCTGCCAGCCAGAGGTGCGTGCGATTGCTCGCGCCCCGAAGAAGGCCGCTGATATTCCACGGCACAGGGCGGTCGGCGTTGAGGTGGACGAGTTTTTCTCTTCTCTTATCTTATATGTTCTTCTCTTCTCTTCTCTTCTCCTCTCCTCTCCTCTCCTCTCCTCTCCTCTCCTCTCCTCCTCCTTCTCCTGCCCTGCCTCCTTCGCTTCTTCCTCCTCCTCCTCCTTCTCGTCTTCCTCCTTCTCCTCTCCCTCCTCCTCCTCCTCCTCCTCCTTTCCTTCTCCTATCCTCCGTCTTTCTCCTGCCCCCTCCCCTGCCCCACCCAGGCTCCTCCCTCCACTTCTCTTCCTCCGCCTCCTTCTCCTCCTCCTCCTTCTCCTGTCACCCCTCATGCGGATGTGTGTTTCCTCCTCCTCTTCCCCCTCCTTCCCTCCTTCATGAACCTCCTCCACCATCCTTGCCCCCCTCCCCCTACTGCTTCTCCTTAGTCTTTCTCGCCCTTCCCCATCAAGCTCCTCCTTCTCCTCCCCGGCTCCTCCTCCTCCACCTCCTCCTCCTCCTCCCTCCTGCTGCTGCTGCTTTTGCTGCTGCTGCTTCTTCTTGTCCTCCTCCTCCTCTACCCCCTCCTCCTCTTCCATTATTTCCCCTGGTCGGTAGTTACTCTTCGTCGTACCACCATTCGTATATATAGTGCGGGTGGGGCGGCGTTTCGCCTGAGATTTCCTCACGTCTGTGATCCTGAAGATTTGAAGTTTGCTGCAGCTACTGGGTTGGAATGTGCATCGTTTCCGCGTGTCGTATCTTGCCAAAGCGCGGCGCACATCTGGTGCTAATTTTTACATCGTGAACATGTATGGATGGCAGGCCGTTTTCAAGCTGTGCCTATCGTTTTAGCGAGTCGGGCATTCGCGTTGATAGTGAACTTCACGGTTTCCAGCAGCTACAAAGATAGGAGGCGAGCCTTATTCAAAATGCGTTTCGTGCCTCATCAGCGCGGCGCACATTCGTGTTACAGTTTCCAGCGGCTGCAACGATGGGGGGCGTACCATTTGCAAAATGTTGGTCTCGCCTTCTCGCGGCGCACTTTCGTCTTATACGTTTCCAACAGTTACAAGGACTCTTTTCGCTATCATTCTCATCATAGGCATCTCGCTTCAGACATCCTGAGAATAGACTCCTCCTCCTCCTGTTTTTGGACGTTGCGCGGAACTGAAGCACGGGCTTAAGGCTTTAATCCTCCTCCTCCTCCTTCTCCTCCTCCTCCTCCTCCCCTGCCTCCTCAGCCGGCCCTCCAGCGTCAGGGCCGTGGCGTAAATGATTGGTAGGCGATGAGGCCCTGCTGAGGAGGAGGAGCAGGTCCATGAGCAGGATCAGGAATGAGGGGTGGATGGATGCAAGGAGGAACGATGATGAGTATGATGTTTTCGAGTAACATGGGGATGATCCGTAGCGGCAGTCGGGTCGTAGTAGTCGTAGTAGTAGTCGTAGTAGTAGTAGTAGTAGTAGTAGTAGTAGTAGTAGTAGTAGTAGTAGTAGTAGTAGTAGTAGTAGTAGTAGTAGTAGTAGTAGTAGTAGTAGTAGTAGTAGTAGTAGTAGTAGTAGTAGTAGTCGTAGTAGTAGTAGTAGTAGTAGTAGTAGTAGTAGTAGTAGTAGTAGTAGTAGTAGTAGTAGTAGTAGTAGTAGTAGTAGTAGTAGTAGTAGTAGTAGTAGTAGTCGTAGTAGTCGTAGTAGTAGTAGTAGTAGTAGTAGCGTAGTCGTAGTCGTAGTCGTAGTAGTAGTAGTAGTAGTAGTAGTCGTCGTCGTCGTCGTCGTCGCCGTAGTAGTAGTAGTAGCAGCAGCAGCAGCAGCAGCAGCAGCAGCAGTAGTAGTAGTAGTAGTAGTAGTAGTAGTAGTAGTAGTAGTAGTAGTAGTCCCCCCCGAGGCTCTGGGAAGCCTGTGGGCGGGGGGGCTACTGCTGCCCTCAAACCGCGGGTGACAGTCATCCTTCCTTTTCTCGCGCACTCACTGTTACGAACACTCTTCCTTGCCCTGAAGGGACGTCCTGGGATGGCGGCGGCCGCTGGCGGCGCTGCGGACGCAGGTGCAGGCGCTCGAGTGGCTGTGAGTAACGCCGCTGCGGCTCGAGGTGAAGGCGGAGTGCTGGCAGCTGCGGGAGGCAGCGGAGGTGCTGGGGCCGCCCCGTGCGCCTCCGCTGCCGCTCCCGCGTCGGCAGGCGCGAACGCAGCCGACATCCCCGTGGATGGCAACATCGACGTCCACATGCGTGACAGCGAGGGCCAGCCAGCACAGAGGCGGCGCCGCATGACGGGCGGACGCATCACCCGTTGGTGCGTCAGCGCCCAGGCGGCCCGTGGCAAGAAGGCTCACTGCACGCGCTGCATGGGGGGCTTCGAGGCGGGCGAGTGGCGCGTGGCGGGCGTCGTGGCACCACCCGCGGGGTCCCAGGCGCACGCGGGCAGGGAGTGGCTCCACATGGCCTGCGTCGATGGCCCACTGCCGCCAGCAACGGCGATGGTGGGCTTTACTCAGCTCCCTGAGGGCGACAGGGGTCGCCTTGCGGCAGCCCTGGAAGCCCGAGGGGGCCCCATCCTGCCCCTGCTGGAGACAGTCGAAGGCCAGGCCCCCGCCCCTCCCACCCAGGGATATGACGCGGCATGGGGGCACTGGGGCAGCCCCGAGGCCCCCTGCCGCCGCCGCGCCAGGAGCATACGGCCCAGGCGCGCGGGGGACTCCCCTGGGGGCGGCCGAGGCAGCGGTGCCGACCACGGCGGACATCCTACAACCGCCACTCGACGTTCCTGCGGAAGCAGGCGAAGATGGCGGACTCGAGACAGGCGTCTACGACGACTACCTGGACGACCAGGTGACGAGCGAGGACGCGTACCACGAGGTGGGCTTCGTCAACCTGGACTGGTGGGACGCCATCGGGTGGGACCGCATCCTGCTCCAAGGGGCGCCCACCACAGCCATGATCCCCGACAGCATGGCGGCAGCCGTCAGCCACGCGAAGGCGCGGCTGTGCTTGGCAATTGAGCAAGCCCGCCAGGGCAACGACGCTTAGTCGTCGAGCACGTTGACGAGGCTGTGGAAGGTGTTCCTCTCGCTGGACGGACTACTGTTCAGCGAAAATGCGACCCCGACCCCGACGACGCGGCGCGAGCGCCTCCAGGAACGCCTGCGGTGGATCCAGGACGGCCAGCGGGACGTCGCCAGGCTTTCCATGGAGGACCAGACGCGCGCCGCGGTCACCGCGAAGGGCCGCGAGGATCACGCCGCAGCCCGTGTACGCCGCGTCACCGAGCTTGCACGAGCGGGAGAGATGTCTCGGGCGGCGGCGGCAGCGTGGCCCCAGGGGGACATGGCGGACGCAGCGGCGGTGGCGAGGAAGTTCAGCACCACCTTGCAGCCCGAGGCGCCTCGCCCAGGCGAGCGGGGCCCTCTCCCTGGCACTGGGGCCGCCCCGCGTGGACCAGGGAGAGGGGCCGCAGGGGCGGGAGCCGACGTGGCGATGCCGCCGTAGTAGTAGTAGCCGTCGTCGTCGTAGTCGTAGTAGTAGAAGTAGTAGTAGTAGTAGTCGCCGTAGTAGTAGTAGTAGTAGTAGTAGTAGTAGTAGTAGTAGTAGTAGTAGTAGTAGTAGTAGTAGTGAACGTCGTAGTAGTAGTGGTCGTCTTAGCGGTCGTATCGTAGTAATCGTTGTAGCAGAAGTAGTAGTAGTAGTAGTAGTAGTAGTAGTAGTAGTAGTAGTAGTAGTAGTGGTAGTAGTAGTAGTAGTAGCAGTAGTAGTAGTAGTAGTCGTCGTAGTAGTAGTAGTAGTAGTAGTAGTCGTAGTAGTAGTAGTAGTAGTAGTAGTTCTAGTCGTAGCAGTTGTAGTAGTAGTAGTAGTCGTCGTAACAGCCGTGCTAATGGTCGTCGTAGCAGTAGAGGTACAACTAGCAGCCGCAGTACCTGAGGTAAGAGTAGTAGTGGTTGTGGTGGTATTAGCGACCCCCGCAGTAATAGTCGTATTATTCCCAACCCTCCTGCGTTGGGTTCTCGTTTTGAATAGAGCACTGCTCGCGCGTCTCCTTCCTTCCTTCCCGTTCCTCTCTTCCCCCCTGCCTTTGACATCGCCATCCCTGGGGGGCTGCGATCTGTGAAACTGTCGCCACTTTCGAGGCCTGCTGGGGGGCCCGGCACAGTGGGTACCCGCCGCAGATTCAAATTAGACCTCGCCAC